CATCTTTCTTCGAAAGATCCACTTACTCCCCAAGGCCTTACTGTCTGGGAGTAGATCAACCAACTCCCAAGTATGGTTCTGTAAGATGGAGTCAATCTCACTCTTAATTGCTTCTTTCCACAAAGGACTTTCAGGTGAAGTCACAGCTTCATGGAACGTTCGAGGTTCTCCCTCTAACATATAAGTCAAGAAGTCTGGACCAAAAGACTTTGTGGTTCTAGCCCTTTTACTCCTTCTTGGCTCATCTATTTCATCAGCTTGATCATCTACTTGATCAATTATTTGATCAGTTGTTTGATCATCCATGTGATCATCTATGTGATCGTCTTCGTGATCATCTATTTCTTTCATGGAACTCGGAACCCTGTCTTGGGGACGACACGGAAATACATCTTCAAAGAAAGATACACTTCTAGATTCCATGATAGTATTCTTGTGTATATCTGAAATATCAGACTTGTGCACAAGAAATCTATATGCACTACTATTTTGTGCATAACCACTGAAAATACAGTCCACGGTTTTCGGACCTATCCTAACCCGCTTGGGTGTAGGTACCGCCACTTTTGCAAGACACCCCCACATTCGTAGGTATTTATATGAAGACTTGTGACCTTTCCACAACTCATATGGAGTCTTGTCCACTTTCTTCCGTGGTATTCTATTAAGAATATAATTCGCGGAGAGAATTGCTTCCCCCCATAAGTTCTGTGGCAACCCAGAACTTATCAACATTGCATTCATCATCTCTTTCAACGTCCTGTTCTTCCGCTCAGCAACACCATTTGACTGAGGCGAATAAGGCGCTGTGGTTTGTTGAATAATCCCAAATTGAGCACAAGTCTCGGCAAACGGGGATTCATACTCACCACCACGATCACTTTTCAATGCCTTGATTTTTTGGCTTAATTGATTCTCAACTTCATTCTTAAAAAGAATAAATTTATCAATAACATCGTCTTTGCTTTTAAGCAAATACACATAACAGTATTTAGTGCAATCATCAACAAAAGTGATGAAGTACTTTGCCACCACGTGATTGTATAACTTTCAAGTCACACACATCACAATGCACTAAACCCAAAGGCTGGGTACTTCTTTCAATAGAATGAAAAGAAGACCTTGTCAATTTTGCTTCTACACAAGTTTCACACTTGTGTTGTGGATTAATCTTGAAAGATGGTATGTGATCTAACTTGATTAATCTACGTAAAGAGTCAAAATTTACATAACCCAATCGACCATGCCATAAATTAGGGGACTCAAGCATATAAGCAGAAGAAAAAGCTTTCTCATTAATCTTAGGGATAAGTGTCATTACATTCAATTTAAACATACCACCTGACATATATCCCTTCCCCACATAGACCCCGCCCTTGGTCAACACGACCTTGTTTGATGCAGGGTTAGTCTATGTGCTCTCTCTCTTTCCGAGTCTTTGTTGATAAACGTTGAGGAGTAGTTTTTCCCAACAAGCTTAAAATAGATTCGCCGCCTCACCGTTGGGTGCTGGAGGTACGCCGGCGTCTACTTCCCAGGATACGACGGTTTTTACCAGCTACAACAGAAGCACCTTCTGATTAGCTTAGCGAACGGACAACGGCATCACTCTCTCTCAGGAAGAAAATTATAGGAGAAGTAGACTAACAGTGTATGAATGTCAAGGAAAAATTCTATATCTCTTTTCAAGGAATAGAGCCTCCTTTTATACACCATGAGGGAGAGGGGATGAGCCTCTAGCCATCAAGGCTGGCAACTAATGCTAGCAAAACTGCCTAATTAATTTTGTAAAACTGATGAGCCTTAAATGTGTGAGTTATATACACATTTATGAGGCAATTTCTTATTCAACCATTTTTCTCTAACAAATATAAGGTAAACCATGAATTATTCCCCTTAAACTTCGATTTAGTTATTCATGTGACCCTGATATTTTTAATTTAGTTGATTTTTAAATTTTTTCTGAATAGATGTGTAAAAAAATAGAGAGAGTAAAGTGATTGAGTGTTTTGACTTTATTTGTTGTTTTAGCCTACTTGTCAAACATGGCCGGCTACTTATAATGTTATTTTAATTTTTTCTATATAAACCCTTCAATTTTAATAATTAAGTCCATATAGTCTATTTTATTGATATATGTGAGAAAAAGTGTGTTGTACTTTTAATTTAATTAAATTTAAAATTTAGGCCCTGTTTGACATATATTAAAAAAGTCAAAAAATCAAAAAGTCACTATCCTATCTAAAAAAAAAAATGAGATTTTGAATGTGAGGGAAAGAAAAGGATAAATTACACCATCGATCCCTTTAATTTGAATGAAATTTTACTTTAGTTCTCATAATTTCAATTTGAACAATTTGATGTTTATATTTTTTATTTTATTTTATTGCAATGTGGTCTCTCCGTCATGCATCGTTAACATTTTGGATAGAAAAAAATCACAGGAAAAATTAGAGAGATAAAAAGTGGAATTCAAAGTAATAGGGACCATCTGTATAATAAATATATTACACTAATAGTTTACACCAGTCCTTCTAATTTTACATAATCTTTTTCATTTCAAATTCTAACGGTAAGTGATAGAGAGACCATATTGTAACAAAATTGAAAATGTATGAATCAAATTGTTCAAATTGAAACTGCTAAAATTAAAGTGATACTTAAACTATATGGACTAATGATATAAAGAGCAATGCTAGGTATCATGAAAAAATTTTCATGACAATGATCATGAAAGATTTATGACCCTTGGATAACACTAAAAATAAAACACCATACACTAATCAAGGTAATCCAAGAATTATAAATCTTTCATGATCCCTAACTTTTCTCTGATATAAATTACTGAAAAGAAAAACTAAAGTGAACATTATGAACAATTTCCGATAAAAGTATTTAATTTTTTAGAACGAAATAATAATTTACCCAAGAGGTATAAATAGTTTCACACGAAACTAATTTTATCTATTCATATTTTTTGCATTTATCAATCATTTTTAGTGTAAATCCTAAAATTAGGTAAATTAAGAAACACATAATCTAAAATGTCTCTTTTTTTTTTTTTTTCATATTAGACTACATTTTAATTGTGAAAGTTGGATGACATAAACAGAAACATTTAAAAACTGGGGAAACTACAATACAGTAGGACCAAAAACAAAAAAAGAAAAAATTACAAAAATATAAAGGGTGTAAATCATTCTATAATGAGATTAATGGGAAACAAGTGAAAAATTGCAAAGTTGCAAATCCGACTTACATCCTTCATGTTTGTGTATTTTTATTTTTTCTATTTCACTGTGTAGTGATTTTCCTTACAAATTTTGAGGTACAGGAAAAAGTTTGACAGTTGCATTGAAAACTAGAATGAAGTTGAAGTTGTGTTAAGGTCTCGTTTGGCAATATAATTTTTTAATTTAAAAGTTTAAAAATTATTAAAAAAATTTAAAAAATTAATAATTTATACTAAAAAATTAAATATTCTTTTTTCTCTTCACATCTTACACATCTTTTCATAAGAAGCGAAAAGATTATACCAAACATATTAATTTTTTTTACTTCATATTTTAGTCAAAAAATTAAAAAGTTACTAAAATAACATGTTTCCAAATAAGTTGTAAGTGAAAAGTTGATAATTAAAAAAAAAATAAATAAATAAGAACATTTGTTTTTTAGTTTCTAAATAATCAATTTTTATTAATTTATTTAAATTATTTCTATCTCATAAGCTTTAAGTAAAAATTGTTTCAAGAAGGATATGGATTCAAGTCCCCTTATCGAGGTTAAATTAAGCTAAAAGATAAAAAAAAAAAATAGATTAAAAAAGTTATTCCCGAACAAAAACTTACTCCAAATTAAAGGGATTAATTGATTATTAAAGCCTCTCTCTGAATTTGACTTTCTTCATCTCCTTTCTTGTAGGGAAGATAGGCGGGGCTTCCTCCTACACGCCATTAAAAGATTGTAGGGCTACGTCAAGGGAAAGAAAAGAGTACGGTTATAAAAATAGAAAAATTATACATAATTTTTATATATAATGATTTAATTTATGATGAATTTTTTATTTTAAAATAAAATATTATTAAAAATAAATTCATTTATTATAATAATATTTTCATATCATTCTTATCAAGTTTTTTATATAAATTTGATGGAGAATAAAATTTTTCACGAGAAGGGCCTAAGGGTTCACTGTAGTTAAATTTTTTTTTTTCTCTCCTTTCCATTTCATGCGCTTTATATACCCAATAACAAAAAGTAAATAAATTACAAGTAATTTGATAAATTGTAAATTAAAAAATTATTTATAAATTAATAAAATATAAATAAAGACATATATCCCGATGTAAATTAAACTATGCCTTGCATAGTTTTTACTTGAACTCGTTAATTTTATTAATTTATAATAAATTTTTTAATTATTATATAATATTTTGATATTGAATGGTTAACAATTTTTTAATATAATAGTAATATCACACAATTATATTATTATTCATGAGTAATCTCATGTTATAATAGGGATCAAAACATGATTTGATTAGTGTGAGCCAAAATTTGTTCATATGATTTTTTTATTAATTAGTGCTAGTATATGAGATGATAATGCTAAGTTAGACAGTGAAACCAATATTGTTAGACCTACATAATGTTACATTTACTATGGTTTTATATTATTTTTAATGTATTATCTCATGGACCATTATTTGTGTAATAATTTCCACCATTCATATTTTTTCATGTCTTGCATGGCTTAATCCCATTGGGGGAAATTATTCAATACTCCCGGAGCACCACGTGTCCATACTCCAAACCAATCACCAATTAGTTAGCTCCATGTTGTCCCCCATTTCCAACATAAATCGTGGGCCCTTGTGTCTCTCCATCAATCAAAACCTTATGGAGCACCACGTGTCCATACTCCGGGAGTACTGAATAATCACCCTCCTATTGGCCAAGTGCATCACCATGAAGTTTCAACTATAACACTGAACCAAGCACAAGCAAATCCTTGAGACCGCAAGACGAGAAATAGATTATAAGACAAGCTCACTTTAGTGTTCCTAACGAGTGACAAATAGAGACTCAGCCATTACTCTCTCTTTCTCACTCTCCAGGCATGGCCAAAACAAGACTTCGACCTCTTCTCTCACTCCTCACATTCCTACTTTCTGTTTCCTCTCTCTTGACTCCTTCACTTTCATCCATAGACTCCTTCGTCTATGGTGGGTGCTCACAGATCAAGTACTCCCCAAACTCTCCATACGAGTCGAACCTCAACTCACTCCTCACTTCCCTGGTCAACTCAGCCACCTACTCGGCCTACAACAAGTTCTCCATGATGGGCTCCAGTCCACAGGACGTTGTCTACGGCCTCTACCAATGCAGGGGCGACCTCGCCATGCCCGACTGCGCCACCTGCGTCGCTCGCTCAGTGAGTCAACTCGGCGTCTTGTGTTCCCAGTCCTGTGGTGGGGCTGTACAGTTACAAGGGTGTTTCGTCAAGTACGATAACACTACCTTCCTGGGTGTGGAGGACAAGACTGTGGTGTTGAAGAAATGTGGGCCGTCGATCGGGTATGATACGGGGGCGATGAGCGGTAGAGATGCGGTGTTGGGGAGTATGGGTGGGGCGAGTGGGCCATATAGGGTTGGTGGGACCGGGGATGTTCAGGGTGTGGCGCAGTGTGTAGGGGATTTGAGTACGAGTGAGTGTCAGGATTGTTTATCGGAGGCGATCGGACGGTTGAAGAGCGATTGTGGGACCGCTGTTTATGGGGATATGTTCTTGGCCAAGTGTTATGCAAGGTACTCTACCACTGGGGCACACGCTTACGCCAAATCCAACAGTAAGCAATCCTCTACCATTTAAACAACAATAATAATTACATTTCACCCAATAATATTATAATTTCACGAATTTTATCTTAAATTTTATTTAGAAATATCAATTATGATTTAAATTCATTTTATATTTAGATTCACACTATACCAATTTAATCTCCGATAGACAAAACACTTTTTATCCAGAAAATTCTAGACTAAAAAATCTCAAGTTTTAGCATACTGTCAATCTAGTTGGATACTTACCAATTATTTCATATTTGGATGAAATATATATATATATATATAAGAAATAAACTTTATCCATTCTAAATAATTTGATTGGATAGTTCAATTATATGGCTTCTAATATCTGACACGTTCATTAAACTGAAGGAAAGTGATTGAGACCCTCTCCAATCACCACCCGCACCACCCCACACACACGACATGGGGGCTAGTGATTGGAGGAGAAGGAAAAAAAAAAGAAAAGAAAAAAAAATTAGCCAATCAGAGAAAGAGAGGGTTATGGGGGTGCCCTCCTTGTGCGGGTCCAAGTCATTTTCCTAAACTGAAATGAACTCATGATAAACTTATGGACCATGAGTGAACCATCCAATCCAAGGAAATTGATCACACACCAAAAAAACATCTTTCTAATTTCGCCAATGTTGTTTTGAATTATTGTTTTTGAATTGCAGATTCATATCATAACGAGGGTGAGAAGACATTTGCGATTATTATTGGATTATTAGCTGGGGTAGCTCTTCTCATCATCTTCTTAACTTTCCTAAGAAAGGTGTTTGAAGGAAATGGTAATAATAAAAACTACTTCATCTTCTGCTTCATTTTTTTTTTGTTTTTTGTTTGGGTTAAATTCAAAAATCACATCCCACACGATTCATTTTGCTTTCTTTTGCTTTTTTTGCAGGTAAATAAACTATTATTTGTCCAAGCCCTACTACCTTTTTATGATCATTTGCTTTTGGAAGCTCTTTTAGCTTACTTTTTCTATTCATGATGTCCAAGTTGCTTTTTATCTCGTTACCCTTTTCTGGAATTTGTTCTTTATATTCATCCCCAAAGGAGATCTAGTGTGTGTAGGAAAGATCTCTCTCTCTCTCTAGGGCCATGCATGCATGTACCCTTAAAAGAAAGGCAAAAGAAGGGCTAAGATTCCACTCTCCCCACCACTCACAAAAGTTCTGTTGTTTGATGTGAAGAAATGGCATATTCTTTTTTTTGTGAAGGTGTTGAATGATCGATTTTTTATATTGTGTTTGGATTATAAATTTGCTTAAAAATTTGGAGGGAAAAAGAAAAATATAAAAATAAGTGAAATGTCAATAAAATATAAATATAAATTTTGCTTTAGTTCCATTTTTTTTTTCCTTCCAAATACTTATCTAAATATATGATTCGAATACAGTCTTAAATATTTGTCTTTGTTATGCTTTTGACATATCTTTGCTACCATATATTCACTACGTTTAGATTTCGAATTACCAAAGGAAAAAAACTATTTAATTTGTGCTTTATTTTTCTTTTTCATTTTTTTTTTTGGGAGGACTGCAAATCTAAGATTCAAACAAGAGGTGTAGTTTACAGGCTTTCTTTGTTGCCTTTTCTTTTTCAAACCATTTTTACAGGGGATACTTGAATAAGAATCTATGTGATGAGCTAGGCCGATCTCTAAAAGATCTAGTGCTTTTTTTACTGCACAAATGATCATTGCTCACATTGCCTTAAATTTTTTTTTGTAGATCATGGAACTGTGTTAGCCACTGTAACCTAGAGCTTTCAATTATTGATGGATTTAAAAAAAATGAATGTGTGGCAATATTTATTTTAGATGTGGTCAAGAAAAATTATTGAGCAACTTAAATATATTTTGCAACTTAAAAAATTATTGTGCAACTTAAATTTGAGTCACATTGATTATTCACATAGCATTACCAATTTTCATCACTATAATCCAAAACTTTGAGTCTCTATTAATTTTTTCTTTATTAGTCAATAATGCTGATCAGAAATGTAGTGGATTACATGTTAGCATTATGTGATTAAAGATCCTTCTCTCTCATCTAAAGAAGAATTTTGCAGGATATACTGTCATCCATTATTCATAACTTTTGATAATGCATGTTTATTGACCTAGGAGTATACATTCATATAATAAAGTGGAAAGGATAGGCTACCAAAGTTGGATATAAAACAACTGATTAAAAAGGCTTGGGATATATATATATATATATATATGTTGGAGGAATTGCAATACCTCATTGTCAAGAACACTTTTGTTTCAAATCATTGTTAAATGGCCATCACTTTATTCTATAGAATAAGACATTAATTATCTAAGATAGCATCCCCACAATATTCATAAAGTTCAATGTGGCCTCTCATCATGGGTCTATCAAATGAATTGCATGGTGGGCTTTTAACTAGTGTGTGAGAGATGGGCTTGTATCCTCTGTCATTCTTTATCTCCAATGATTTTGCTTCTTGTAGTTTTTATCACAATAACAAATGTCAACAAAGAGCGTAATCAATTGGTTTAAATTTAAATTTATTTTGGAAACAACGTCATTTTACTCTAGTGTGAAACTTGAGATTGTTGAACTATCATAGCAAAATAATTGCAGATAAAAAATGACAAATAATCTAAATCTTAGAGGAGATACAAAGAGATCACTGAAAATATATTTCTTATAAAGGCAATAACGTAGAAGACATTATTGTGATATTTAGGCAAAGAATGTTAAAAAATATGATTGGCCACACAAAAATCACTTAAACACATAAAGAAGAAAATTGAACAACAATAATATAACTATTGTATTTTACTCATATTCCAAATGACCAACTTGCAAGTAACAAGGCTATATATAAGAATCTAAAATCAAACTTTAACATTTTAACAAATGACCATTCATGTTAATATAAAGACCCACTTAAACATTTTCTTTGTAACATTCAACCCAATTACGGTTGATTATTGGATATTTCGAGAGTATAGTCACATGGTGCTCTATGGTATTATAATTGGTAAAGAAAGTGATGTATTATGATTTTGTATTAAGTGATTAAGAAATATGAGGAAGCATGATTAATGATGATTAGTAAAGAAGCTAGACAAAAATAAAAAAACAAAAAAAAAAAAACAAAAAAACAAAAAAACAAAAAAACAAAACAAAAAACACATATTAATGACCATTAGAGCATCTCCAATGTCAAGCCATTGGAACTGCTATTGTCATAATTTGGCAGCTGCAGCAGAGCAATGTGCTCTAATGGCTTGCCATAGCAACTGCTAACTGTCAAAACTTGTGTAAAATTTGACACAAGTTTTGGCAGCTGCTATTTGTGCTAAATCATCAAGAAACACCTCTCATTCCTCTTAGTAAAACATTCCTTCCTCCCTCTCTCCCTTCCTCCTGCCCGCCATTTGTGCTAAAGAAACACAAAAATGACTAGACGCGACACACCAGTTTCTATGATGAAATGACAAAAATGTTAGCTGAACCATTGGAGTACCATTGCTATTTTTCATCCATTTTCTACTATTCATTGTCATAATTTGGCAATTACAATACTATTATACATTTACCATTAGAGATAATCTTACATGCATGAAAATATAACTCTTAACATAATAAAAAAACTAATTTATTTTTTCAACACCCTTCTTAAACTTGATTTTTATTAACTTTGTAAGAGCCCAATGGGTGTCTATCTCACATCGCTTCTATCACGACCCTATTCCGCTCCTTATAGAATGGTGTCGTGATGGCCAGTAATCCAAGATTACCGAAGGCCAACTTCCAAAATTCACACACAATCAGAGTATAAATATATGGGGCTCATAAGTGCGGAAGCTATATATACAGTTCTAATTAGTCTATAAGAGCCGTGCATAGATCAAATGTAATGTCATACATCTTATCAAGGTCTTACAACTTGGATGCAATAAAATGAAATACAAAATACATCTTGACCAAAAGGCTTCTCAAGCCATCATATACAAAACACAATGAATTACAAGCTAAGAAGCATGATCTTCAAGGTGCTACATAATGCGAGTCCAAAACAAGTTGCAAAGCACATCTAGGCGTCACCGCCATCCTACTCATCACCTACATATATATAGAGAGGGTGAGCTTGGATACTCAGTGAATGGTACAAGTAATAAAGGGATTTGCATGAATAATATCCGAGATCTTCATCAAAGTGATACACATTATATCTTGCACAAAATCAAAGACAAAAACAAATTCATCTAACAAGTCTTTCAAGCTTCGTCAATCAAAGTCTTTCAAGGCTTTCAAGTTTGAAGTGATGACATTAACAAAGGTTGTGCTACAAATGCTTATAGTCCCCTAGCGCGTACGGACTTTCAAAGATTGTGCTACAAATGCTTATAGTCCCCTAGCACGTACGGACTTTCAAAGATTGTGCTACAAATGCTTATAGTCCCCTAACACGTACGGACTTTCAAATGTTGTGTTACAAATGCTTATAGTCCCCTAGCACGTACGGACTTTCAAAGATTGTATCAAAACCAAGGCTAATACTTGACACACAAAATAAGGATATTCATTCATGCTTAACAAATACTTTTCCAAAACCAGGCAAAGCAAAGCTTTATCAAAACGTTATAACATAAAAAATACCACTCACATAGTTCTTCAAACGTCGGGATCAAGCGAGAGTCCAAGTCCTACAAACACATGGCAAAGTCTATTGAATGCACTTTCAAACAAGCTTTACATGAATGCAAATGATCTCAGCATTCCTTCAAAACTAAGTCGAACCAAGACAAAACACTGTTTCTCCTCTCGGGAAAAACATGCTGGGTACCAACCAGGCGAGGTCCCACACCTCCTTGCCGAGGTGTGGCCCCGATGGCCACATTCAAGGAAATGAAGTCGGGAAAATCTAGGTTTCCCTTTCTTGAATATCATGAAGAACATGGATGCAAAGATCATAACTTATCATTACAAAATCTGAGATTTCATGCTATGAATTCAAAAACATGGACCTGGGTACCCAAAACTCGAAGATTTTATGAAAACAAACACAAAAACATGAATCTTAATGCAAGCTTTCGGATCAAACAAGGCTTTTATTCAAGAACACATGAATATCACTTTCTCCTTTTAAAACCAAACTTTAAATCAATACATGGCTTACAAATCGTGCTCGATCATGAAATGCAGCTAGATGAACAATAAGAACAACAAGAGTAGATCAAGATTCTAACCTCAAGACACGAATCTAACGGCTCAAGGTGTGAAGATCAAGCTTGGAAATCTATTCCCTCTCTAAGAACTCCTCATTTTTCTTCCTAGAGCCTCTCTCTCTAAAGACAAGGATATGATACAAAATGATGTGTTTGTCAACAGCTCACTGACTTAACCCTCTTCTGGGACACGTGGCATTGGTTGGTTGGCTCTACTAAAAAAGGTGACTGAGTGAAAAGACAAGACCATGACAAAGTGTGTGCAACAAGCAAGATGGCATAGGCACTCCGGCAGGTAATGATCTCGGCTGAGGACAAGGCTTCGGCAAGTAAGGTCTCAATGATCTCGGCTAGGAAGGACAACACTTGACTTAGCTGTGCCACAGCTCGGCCTAGATATGTCACACGTCGGTCTAGGTCGCACCAATCCAGGAACAGGATCACTAGGTGCAAGGATAACATTTCAGCCTAGATAATACACATCTCGGCCTTGGTGATGAACACCTCGGCCTAGATAATGATATCTCGGCCAATATGCCAGGGTGAAGGTGAAGGTCAGTCAAGGTGATCCCAAGATGGTCCTAGGCATAAGAGGCTCAAAGGTGACCTAGGCTTAGGATTACCTCGGCTACACACACCAAGCAACAAACAAAGCAAAGCAAACAACACTTAAGCAAAACAAGACAAGATTCGTAATGCAAGTTTAACAAGACGAAAACATATAATTGCATGTGAGCATGACCAAGATAGAGTGAGGGTTGTTACATCCTACCCTCCTTAAAGAATTTTGGTCCCCAAACTTAAGTTACTTTGCCTTATAAATAACTCCGGATGACGGATTTTCACTTCTTCTTCCTTTTCCCATGTAGCCTCCTTGTCATAATGCTCCTTCCATTCAACCTTTACCATCGGTATCGACTTGTTTCTCAACTGTCTCACTTGTCTGTCAATAATTCTCATTGGCTTCTCCTCGTAGCCTAAATCTTCATTGACCACAATCCCGGAATAATCAATTACATGCAGTGGATCC